GAATGAGTTTCGGGTTGGGGGTGGTGGACGGACGGCTGGAGAGGGGGAGCGGAAGGGTGTCGCGCACGTGACAGGCCTACGGGCTACGGGACCGTTGACCCGCCCGAAGTGGGACTAATTGGCATATTTTTTGGCACCATTAGAATGGCACTTACAAACCTGGAATATTTTGAAGCACCAAACATTAATATTTACAAATCAAGCACATTCTTTAAACAAATTTTCAAATTAGTGCTCAAATGTAAAAATTTATGATAAAATTTTAACTCATATATATATCTTTTTAATCAAATTTTCAATTGCTTAATCAGGACATGCATAAATTCATCGATTTAGTAGTTCAAAAAAAAAAAAAAAACATTTCGGTATTTGATATGCAATTATTAATGTATTGGATGTTTTTTTTATGTAATATATTATTTCTAATTTGATTAATGATATTTCAATTATTTATATTTGATTTTTTATTTAGAATAATAATGAATCTAAAAATATTGAAGTTAGTTTTTAGACTCTGTTTGAGGCAGCTTGTGTCAGTGGGTTGATCGCGGGGGTCGACCCACAACCTGCGTTTAGTGTAAAAAACCTGAATGCAGTATGTAGCGTTTTCAAAAACGCGCAAACCAAACGATTATGCGGTGTTTTCAAAAACGTCACCGCACTTATAAGCTCACCCAAACGGACTCTTAATTAGTTACAGTTGGAAATAAAAAAATTTATCCCGGGCAGCTTGTGTGCGTGGGTTGACCGCGGGGGTCGACCTGCGGTCTGCATTTAGTGTAAAAAACTTGAACGCGACAGACAGTATTTTGAAAAACGCGCAAATCAAACGGTTAGGCGGTGTTTTCAAAAAGGCAGCCGCACTTATAAGCTGCCCCAAACGGGCTCCTAATTAGTTACAGTTGGAAATAAAAAAATTTATCCCATGAATCTAAAAATTCTAATTCGACACAAATTCATTATCAGGTATAGTAAGCATTCAGGGTTTTTTTTTTTTTTTTTTTTTTTTTTTTTTTTTTTTTTTTTTTTGAATTTACATTTTGTGTGAAGAATGTGTAAAGTTGTTTATTTTTTTTTAATAGGAGCATTCACACATTTAACACATCAATCTAATGTATTTATGTATTTAACATTAAATTTTCGTATTTACATTCAAAACGCTAAATGTTTTTATATTAATAAAAAATATCCTTGTCATTAACTTCTTAAAAATAAAATGTGTATTTTCTAGTATAAATTCATGACATCAAACTATCATAGAAATAAATATCAAATTTTAGATGTTTAGCTATATAAATTCATAAGATTTGTGGTATGTAACTTTTCTACCCCTTAAAACTAAGCTTCTCTAATATGCTTCATGCGTGCAAGTTTTCTAATTCTTAGGCAACACTATATGCCTTAGTTAGGATGTGCATTGTATGGTTAAAACTAGAAAACCTCACCGAACATAATCGTTTTAATTCACAACTGATAATGGAGGAAATACGAGTAAATGTAATGATTATGGAAAGAAATATCAAAATGATCCAAAACTTAGTGGTATGACAAATGTACGCCCATTTTCTTTTTGCCAGAAAAATCCTCATAATTTTCAATCAACTCTAGGCTCAATTAGTATTGCAACCAATTGTTAAAATAGATGAGATTAGTGGGGGTCTTAAGGTATAAATATTTGATCAAGATAATGTTTGAAAAGCTTTAGTAGTTATGTTAATCGTAGATGAATTACTCTTTAAATATGTTGAAGGATATGAGTTCAAATACTTTTATGTCAATTGGATATTCACCCGTGATTGCTTTCAGTTCTACTCAGATAAGAGGGCAACTGTGAATAAAATTTTAAGAAATCATGTAAAAGGGTATGTTTAATAGTCGTCACTATTGACCTCATGTTAAGAGGTCTCTCCCTAGAAGAGAACCTAGATGAACCCACAGCTTGACCTCATGTTTAAGAGGTCTCTCCCTAGAAGAGAACCTAGATGAACCCACAGCGGCCTCCCCTAGTGTCGATCTGCCCTAACCATCTCGGCCTCCCTCCAATCTCGCTTAAAACCATCACCTTCGCGAGCCACACCTCATGGTCAGGTCACGAGAGAGTAGACTAGGAAGGCGACGACGGGATTCCGACGACCTCACCCTCCTTATTTTGACACATGTAGGTAGATGCAGGTTAAAACTTGCTCTAAATCCATTATTATATGTGATAATATTGATTTATAGATATAAACAAGTGTGGACCTTTTGTGATTTGTGAGCATAAAAGTATGGATCTTTTATGATGTGCAAGCACAAAAACAAATGTGTATCTTTTGTGATTTGCAAGCACAAAAAGTATGGAACTTCTGCGATGTGCAAGAATGTAAACTAGTGTAGATCTTTTGTGATTGGCAAGCATATCTTTTAGATTTTAAAGCATTTGGAAAACGTGCTAATGATTTGTTGTGATCTCTTTATTGTTCGGAAGCCATGGAGATGAGCTTTTTGCTTGAATACAAATTTTTCTTGTAGTGGCAGTTGAAAATGCATGAGAGTTTATAGTATTCATTGTTATGCTCCCTTTCATGTTAGAATTCACTTGCAAAGTTAAAAGGGAAGCATTACATACATAACACTTGATACCTATATATTGACATATATACACCTAAGCTTTGATCTTTTTACAAACATACCACCTTATGCATGTAAAGGCATATTTCAGTTTTAAGTTAAAATGGTAGTTTGTGATAAGAAAGATTTGCATGGTATAAATGTAAATAGCAAATTTTAGGTGTTTGATATGTGAATGCATAAAAATTGAGTGGCATGACAAGCATAATTAATATCCATATGCTTTCAAATTCCGACGAAACTAGTTCAACTAACTTGGGATCTAAATATGCTGAAACCTATTTTTGATGTAAGTTGTCTTTTTTTAAGACAATTTAGTTTTCTCCTCTTGCTATGCATTGTACATAATAAGGGATCTCATTCTAAGGCTGTCGACGTCGTTTGGATTCATTATAACTCAAATATCTAATTGAACAATAATGTATGTTTTTGAAATGAATGGATCCAATCAAACCAAGCATATATTGTAAGAAAAATTAGTGCTTATATGTTACTTCAAACCACACCCCATATAAAAATCATTTGCTTAACTTATGATATGCAACACTCTCCAATTGTCATGAATCTAAGAAAATGGGAGAAAGAAGGCTCATGCATGATAGAGCTTCACTGAACAAGCTTATATTTGAAAGTTTGAAGCTACAAAGTTGGACTAATTTGGTTAGATTAGATACAATTAATCTTTGATCCGTAGTTTGATTTGATTAAAACATGCCTCAATTTACTCCCTCTATAATCCTTTTATGCATCATTTAATTTTCATGTGTTACTTGGGGTAGTTAATGTCATCTAGATTTTGATGTGCATGCATCATAATTCTTATACAAATCTTATGTCATTCCTTGCGAGGTAAATTCGGGTATGCCTCGGCTCCAATGACCTCCTGCAAAGTTATGTAAAGAGGAGCCCAATGAATGAAATGGCTAATCTGGACAATCCGTCGCAAATGTTTAACTCTTCTTAATTATATTCCAATAAACTCAAATATTATTTTGATTAGAAACTTATGTTGGTAATAGCATGCAAAATATTTCATGAAGTGCACCTTAAACATTGGTTAACAAATGATACTTATGTGAGAATGAAATGGTTAATCTGGACAATCCGCCGCAAATGTTTTAACTCTTCTTAATTATATTCCGGTAAACTCAAATATTATTTTGATTAGAAAGTTATGTTGGTAATAGCATGCAAAATATTTCATGAAGTGCACCTTAAACATTGGTTAACAAATGATACTTATGTGAGAATTTACTTGTTATTTGTTCCATTTATCAATATACTTATGTGAGAATTTCCAACGGCATTGCCTGCAAAAATCTAAAAGTTTCATGTTTCGATTTGTGAAAATAAATACCTTCGATGCTTTTGTTTTATAAAAATTCGATAGTTTAATGTTTTTTATTTGTGAAAACATTTAGCTTCGATGTTTCCTTTTAAAAAAATTAAGTTCATGTTTTGATTTGCGAAAATACATAGCTTCGATGCTTTCATCTTGAAAAAAATATGTTGGTTTTATAGTTTGGGTTTGTGAAAATTTGAATTTAAATGGTTTCATTTCTGAAAATGTTGAGAAAATTAGGGCGAAAAAAAACAACAATCGACACAAATCCAGAAGAACACAGAGATTTAACGAGGTTCGGCAAAGATGCCTACGTCCTCGGGAGCAGAGCGGCGAGTTCCTTTCAATATTCAGAAAAGAGGTTACAGAATAGAGGGATACCTCCTGGGGTTACTAGCAGACCTATTTATAACCCCGGGAGTAAACCCTAGGCACAATATGTAATTACAACATTACCCCTGTACCATACCGCAGGACTTTGCCCCCGCACCCCAACCCACGTAACTTCCCAATTTGGATAGATTCTTCACTCCGCTCCAGCGCCTTGTGAGGTACATCGATTATGTTTTGGGCACTGAAGAATTATGAAAGGACCATCATCCCCCTTCTAATTCACATGGGGGAAATTGAAGATATAACTACAGCTGCAAGATGTAACATCCACCCCGCAAAGGTATTGCCCTCTTCACTTGTTTCTTATTCTCTAAAATCCTATAAACAGTCTTAATCTTGGTTCAAGACTAACAAAGAAAACGAGATTTACTTGCATATTACTCAATTTCTATGTATTTACAAATCTAATATCTATACTTGAAAATTTACATGCATGCCACCATTTCTATGCATGAAAAGGTGTACTTTAAGAAGTTAAAGTGATGGTTTTTTGATGTGTAAAATATTTTGGTCATATACATGTATAAAGTAAAATTTATATTTTAGATATGCGAATGTATATGAATTATGTGATATGCATATGCATGTTCGTAACATTGTTTTTCTTCTCATTGGATGAATAATGTGGATTTATGGTCAAAACATGGATTTTTTTATACATATATTTGCTTAATAATTTATACTCATCAAACATTTTATATGATTATGCACCCCATTATATAATATGGATAACACTACACAAAATTCTCATACAATTTTTTTTGTGCGCCTTTGCAAGGTAAATCTGGTCGTGGTCGAGG